AAGGCTTCATTTAGGACTCTTTCATGAAAATGCTAAAAAGACCATTGAATCTGATTTTTAGGGGGGGGAATCTCTGTTAAATTTACGAATGGAGATTAGAACTTTGCATCACCTTGATTACTCCATGGTGGCCATGGAGACAAATTTCATACATGTCTCTATGTCCACTATTTATATTGGTGACTTCTCATGCTTTCAATAAATACCAAAGAAAGTCATTCTGAGAGAATTCCTTCTATGGGCTCTTTTCATACCAAAATACAGGATTTGCTAATTCTACAATGTGAAAGAGAAAGGAAAAACCCTTGTCTGGATGACTGCAATGCACTCTACACAGGGCTGCCCTTGAAGAGCATTAAGAAACTTCATTTGTTGAAGAATACAGTTGCATGGATGATAAAAGGTATCGGGTAGTTTAGAAATATAACACCACTACTTGATGAGCTGCATTGGTTGCCAGTGTACTTCCAGGTGCAATTCAAGGTGTTGGTTATCAGCTTTAAAGCCCTTCATGACTTGGGGCCGGGTTACCTAAGGGCCATCTCCCCCAGTTGTTTCTACCCATCCAATTTGGTCAGGCACTTTGTGCATGCTGCCAGTCCCATCAGCAAAGGAATGTTGTCTGGGAGGAACCAGAAGATGTTCCTTCTCTGTTGTAGTCCCTGCCATAGCCCCTGGCCTCTGGAACAATGTCCCTTCATGGACCCTTACCCTGTTGGTCTTTTGAAAGGTCATGAAGACTTGGTTGTGTGTCCAAGCGTGGAGCCCCGGGTATGTTAAGAAGCCCATTTCCTAACTGTATTAACATCCATAGTAACCATTTCACTTGGTGCCATATTTATTTATTTGGTACTGATAATAAAAGCCTTGGTGGCACAGTGGTTAAAGTGTGGTATTGCAGGAAAACTCTGCCCACAGCCGGGAGTTTGATTGTGACCGGTTCAAAGTTGACTCAGCCTTCCATCCTTCTGAAGTTGGTAAAATGAGGACCCAAATTGTTGGGTGCAATATGCTGACACTGTAAAGAGAGATAGTATTTTATCTCTCAGAGATAAAGGTACCAACCAGAGAGTGCTATAAAGTACTATGGCAGGCTTTGCTGGCTGAGGAATTGTGGGAGTTGAAGTCCACAAGTCTTAAAGTTGCCAAGATTGGAGACCCCTGTACTATGGGATGGTTTATCAGTCTAAGTGCTACTTGTTGTTGCTGTTCTAATTGTTTTTCTGTTTTATGATGTACGCAACTCAGAGTCTCTTGTTGAAATTGGCAGGCTATAGAAATCAAATAAATAAATAAATAAAAAGAATAAACAGCAATGCTGTCCTGTGCCACATTGCAGTTGTAAAATAAGCTCAGAAATGCTATACTGTTACACATTCCATAGAAACTCAGAGGTGTCCTCTGAGAATGAGTTATGGAAGCAAAAGCCTCTTTTATAGAACAGGCAACACTTTCAGGAAATTAAGAGACAGATTTCATCATAACAATATTCCTCCACCTCACTCGGAAAAGCTTTTATATGTGAAGCAGATGTTCTATTCACTGAGCTACAACCTTGTTTCTGATATTCTGGATTCAAGAAGGAGAATTACAATTGATAGAGGTCTGTAGAACCCCAATATACACAGGACAAATGGTAATGACCCTATGTCAGTGTGCTGTCTCCACTACTGTGTGCTCTCTCCACTACTCTTCTCTCTATACACCAATGACTGCATCTCAAAAGATCCCTCTGTTAAAATACTGAAGTTTGCAGATGATACAACAGTGATTGGTCTCATTCAAGACAACGATGAATCTGCATACAGATGGGAGGTTGAACAACTAGCCTTATGGTGCAACCAGAACAATCTTGAACTAAATACACTCAATACCATAGAAATGGTGGTGGATTTTAGAAGAAAACCTCCTATACTTCCACCTCTTACAATACTAGACAACACAGTATCAACAGTAGAGTCCTTCAAGTTTCTAGGTTCTATCATATCTCAAGACTTAAAATGAATACCTAACATCAAAAATGTCATCAAAAAAGCTCAATAAAAAAATGTTCTTTCTGTGCCAACTCAGAAAGCTCAAACTGCCCAAAGAGCTGCTGATCCAGTTCTACAGAGGAATTATTGAATCTGCCATCCGCACCTCCATGCACCTCTGCAACCAAACAAGACAAAGACAGACTTCAACGGATAATTAGAACTGCAGAAAAAACAATTGTTACCAACCTGCCTTCCATTGAGGACCTGTATACTGCACGAGTCAAAAAGAAGGCTGTGAAAATATCTACAGACCCCTCATATCCTGGACATAAATTGTTTCAACTTCTACCCTCAAAATAACGCTATAGGGCGCTGCACACCAAAACAACTAGACACAAGGACAGTTTTTTTCCAAACACCATCACTCTGCTTAACAACTAATTCCCTCAACATTGTCAAATACAGTAATTACTAAGACTGTATTACTATTCTTCTTCTCTTCCTTACTAGTATCTATCTCTTCCCACTTATTACTATAACCATGTTGCTTGTATCTTTCAATTTATATTGTTTTTGTTTCCTAGTACGATTTGATAGCTTATTAGTAACCTTAACTATCACTAAGTGTTGTATCTTTTTACTCTTGATGAATGTATTTTATTCTCCTTATGTACACTGAGAGCATATACACCTAAGACAAATTCCTTATGTGTCCAATAAAGAATTCTTTTTAATTGAAATTTATTTTAATACAATACAATACAATCAGTCAGACAGTGTTAATTTTCCACACAGGTTAGATCAATTCTTCCTTTATGTTTCATAGTTCCAGGTACATACATACATACATATATGTATATGTATATGTATATGTATATGTATATGTATATGTATATGTATATGTATATATATCTTAACATTTGTATTAACTTTCATCTATTTTTTATTCGGTTATCAATCCACCTGTACCAATCATCCCACACCATATTGTATCCTGAATCCTCTTTTTCATTTAATTCTAATGTTAATTTGTTCATTTTGGCACACTCTAAAACTTTCTGAATAATAAGTTCCTCTGGTGGTGTATCTTTTCCTTTCCAATATTGGGCATATGCTATCCTTGCTGCAGTGAGTATATGTATAATTAAATATCTTCTTTTTTCCCCATATTTAGTCTTTAGTATTCCCAGGAGAAATGTTTCAGGTATCAATTCAATTTTTTCATTAGTTGATTCTTGTAGCCAATTTTGCATTTTTCTCCAATACCTCTTCGCTTCAGGACAGGACCACCACATATGAAAGAAGGTACCTTGGTAGTATCCACACTTCCAACATTTGGGGCTTACATTTGGATAGATTTTTGCTAATCTCGCAGGTGCTAGGTGCCATCTGTTCAATAAAGTATTCTATTCTATTCTATTCTATTCTATTTTCTATTCTATTCTATTCTATTCTGATGGCATTTACAGTACTGTCGTTTGAATATTAAATCCTTTGATGTGATCAAATTGCTGTTCCTAAAATATGATGGTAGAGCTGATAAGATGTGGTAGTTGAAGGCGCTAGGCTAGCTGATGTGCCTTCAAGATGTGGGAGACCATGAATTCTACTCCTGCCATAGGCACAATGCAAAATTAGATAGCCTTAAGCCAGTCACTCTCTCTCTCAGACCTAGGAAGAAGGAGCAGGTAAGCCACTTCTGAAAATGTTGCCTAGAAAACTGCACTGACTTCTTCATATAGCTGCAGTCCAAGTAAACTGACTTGAAGGCATAGAACAGAACAACCAGGTTATCTAGGAGAACCTGATTAAAAATTCTCAATCAAAGGTGTGGCTAGATAATTTTCAAACCAAAGGTTAGCTAAATTGAACAATTACCATAAGCCATAGCCATCATAATCAATGGCCACACATTTAGATGTTCTAGAACAGGTGTGGGGAACTATGGCCCCTTTATGACCTGTGGATTTCAACTCCCAAAATTCCTGAGCCAGCATGGTCATAAAGGGCCCCCAATTCCCCACCCGTTCTAGACCGTAATTTATGTTGCAGTTCTTAACATGGACTGTACAAGATTGTCTAACCAAGGGGGAAAATATGTGTCGGTGCCTTATATTTGGCTTCCTCACTTGGTAACACATATATATCTGCTACTATACATTTCATCCATTTTTAAATATGCTAAGTGCTTATGTTCTACAGATTTATGCTGAAATGAGTTTTCATTCTTGTTTGTTTTTTTTTTTTTTAATGGGGCATCATCTTGACCTGTAAAAGAGCAACTGAAAGCAATCTCCACATCTTGTTTTAACAGGCTCTAATCAACCTTCACAGTCTTAAACAGAAATACTTATTACTTGGATGGAGAGAGGGATGGCGCATGGGTAGAATTTTCAATTTTCATGGTGCGTTAGAAGCCCTGCACCTGATAATAATATTCCATCTGTTCCGATCAAGAAAGAGGAGGAAGAGAATTCCATAAAAATGGGGAGTGACTTCAACATTTCAGGAAAATTATGGCATACTAATATGTATGCAGCTGCATTTAAAAAGTACAATATTTTGTAGGTTGGCAGTCATTGTGTATTTGGAAGGGTATGTTTATAAAATCTGCATTTTTAAGCAAAGAGACCAAAAGAATTTAGCTTTGGGAGTTAGGACTTCAGATTATAAACCTTCCTAAACTAGCACATTCCAGATGTACTTAACTATCATTCTCTGTATGGTGATTTGGACCGTAGTCTGTGCAAGTGGTAAAAGGATGACAGATGGGAATAAATGTAATTGTTGTTCTGTGCATATGAATTATTAGCAGTAATGTGTCCATACTTGGGGACGGAACATAAAGCTGGAGACCATCCGTTCCAACTCCTGCTCAATCTATATATATAAAAGTGAAATACCACTCACACATCATCACGAAATCTCCAGAATCGTAAAGCCTACAAACTTGAAATTTGGCACATATGTTCCTCTTGGCTCCTAGGTGCTCACCAAGAAAGGATTTTATGAAATGACCATCAGATCATTAGTATTTCTTATATTATTATTAACACGCTCTGATGCTAAGGAGTTAGATGTTCTACTCCCCCTCCCCACCTGAAAAGAACTCTGTTCCAACTGCCATTTGGGCGTGGGCATGGACAGCATGTGACTTATCCAGCCTGTGGGCTGGGAGTTTAGACATTCTACTCCCCACCTGAAAGGGACAGAAGGGGATAAGATAGGAGAGGCCTCTGTGGGGCAAGCCTGAGGGAGAGAAGGGGATAGGAGAGGCTTCTGTGGAGCAAGCCTGAGGGAGAGAAGGGGAGAGGAGAGGCCAATCAAACTACTCATTAATTTTCAAGAGGTAAGTGTCGATTTATCAGGCCCGATCACATAGTTTCCTAGAGGAGCACGGGTATCCAGCTAGTATATAATACAATTTAAAGGCTCTCCATAATATGGATGCCTATTTTACTTGAATGTAGCAAGTGAAGGAATCACACAACAAGGGATCCTAAATTACCAGTAGGCAACAATTGGTTCCTATAAATATTCACATCTCTCAGATAGGGAACCAGGTTTGGTTTACCAGGTAGAAACCTAGCTTCTCTTGTTGAACTACTAAGGATGGTGCAGAATATGATTGGTTCATGTGCTCCTGCTGGGCATATGGGCTGTTGGAAATCCTACTACTACATCAAACCACTATTGTGTTCAGCAGCAGCCAACATAGGTATGTTCCTAGCTGGGTTCAAGGCCATCCCACAGAGACTATTTATAAAAGGTCTGGAGAATGCAACACTACATGGATAATATCACTAGTGCCCAAGGTAAGTTAATATCAATATTAAACTTTGATTAGATGGAATATTATTGATCAGCCTTTCATTTCACTGATAGATTATCAAAAGTACATAGCAAACATCAATCCAAGATTGTAAATCCAAGGTGAGTGGTGTAATTTTAGAAATATTTGTTTTCCTAAGTCCCCATGCTTGACAAATCCTCAATTCATATATCAAAATGGCTTTATTTGTAGTTCAAACCACATTCTCGTCTTCAAACTCTATAGTTTTTTCCAAAATAATTCACAAACTTATGTTTGTTTAAATCAAAACTGGACAATAATAGGATATGCCCATATCATAGAAGTTAATGTCCCTTCTGTCATATTACATTTCTAGCCTAATAATGTTGACAAATAAGTCTTTTTAAATGTCATTTGAAATATCTAATTAAGTTGAGAGGAAAAGCTGAATTGGCTAATCTTAAAATCATAAGAACATTATTTAATATTCTTTATGTTCCTTAAACATTAGGTTTTTAACATTCCAACTCTGTATTCCAAAGTTCTTACAAATTATTAATATTCCCTTTAAAAATATTCTGTTATCCATAATACTTATTAATTGCTGATTAGCAATTAACTGATTTAAAATAGGTTTATAACTGTTCTCCCATGAACTTTAAAACAGGTTTACACTGAGATTATCTGAAACTGTAAATAAAACTCAGAATTAAATGTAGATCCCAGATATTCATGCTGGATCTACAGTAGAATTTTCCTAAACGAAGACCAAATTCTTCCCTTGTTGTCAGAAGAACCTCATACAAACTTTCTAATTGGGTCCATATCATTTTTTGAACATAATAACCGAATTCCATGAAGAAAGAAAAATTGCATGTGTATATGTATGTATCCTATGAGACAGTGGAAAGCAGGAAAGTTAGAATTCTTCATATGACAGCTGCAATTTAGATTAAAATCTAGGAGACTGGCCTTCCCATTACAACTTTCTTAACTTTCAATCTGCTTAAAATTAATCTGGTAGCCATACCATTTTTGCAGAGTAGGGCTGAACTGTTAGCATTACGTAGGGGTGTTTTCATGGTCACAGCTGACGTCCTTCCTTTTTTTCATTCTCTGTGCAGATACTCCTCTCTTGAAACTGCATTTATGGGTCTTCCAAAAGCTCCTGATTGGTTTTTATGAGAAACAAGTTATTCCACACTAGTTGGATCTTTGATACGATTCAAGCAGCGTTCTTCTCATCTTCTTATAAATTGTACATAGCATAAGGAAGGTGGGGGAGAGGGGAAAAATAAATGATAGAAGACTGGCCTTTTTTATATATCTCTTTTATCGCTCTGTGGGAAATTGTTCTTTTAATTTATAGTGTGGCAGAAGGAAGAAAAGCTATTTTCCACAGACTAAAAACCTCATTGTCAGACTTAAAATATGAAATCTACGTCCTGTGAAGATTGCTGGTTATTTGCAAGCACAAACGCTTGAAGAGATTGCATTTGCTGTGCTGAAGCAGCAGAGAAAGGGAGGATTGGATATGCTGAAACAGAAATAAGGGCAGATAATTTAACAAACTCTCTTTTGGTTGCTGCTGTCAATAAGCACTTCCCTTTCCTTCAGTTCTTCTTCTCTTGAACAAAGGCATTTGCTCGTGCATTCCTGATTACCTGGGTCGACATTTGCAGTCAAATAATGCACAAGATTAATCTCTGAAATAAAAGGAATTTGTTTGGAAAAACATTGGGTAAAAATTATTAACATAAGCTGCTTCGATTAAAGTAGGCTTAAATCATTGCTAAAAACTTAGTGTGGTACAGTCCTATGGACTTAGAAGGAAACTACACTGTGTTCGGTGTACAATCCATAAACCTTACAATCCCTTCCTTCATTTTTATTATTGTTTGCAGTCCAATAGAGTTCAAAAGTTTTGGTAGCTTCAAAATCTGGAGAATTTATTTGGTACGAATATATGGTATAAATGAGTGGTGAAACTTTTTATCACCAGAGTTATTTTACTTATTTTACTTATTTTACTTATTTTACTTTATAAATATTTTACTTATATCCAATTCATATGGCTATTTCAAATATATTGAGTGGCTAACCAAGAATAAAAACAAGATCAAAAGATCATAAAAACAATAAGGAACCAGTATAGGATACATCACATCACAAATTAAGTCCAACAAGGTTGCAGTGTTTGTTTGTCTGTGTCTATTAATAGGTAAAATGAAAGGGGTCCACAGAGAACTACATCTGAAACTGCCACATGCCAAACCATCAGGGCATAAGTCTTCTACATAGACCCAAAGGTGCTTTTTAAAGGAGGCAACCAGACTTCCTTGTTTTTTCTTTGAAGACGTTTCGCTTCTCATCCAAGAAGCTTCTTCAGCCCTGACTGGATGGTGGGGAATGGAAGGATTTATACTCCTTGCAGACAGCAGGTCATTTGCATTCAGAGGTGGGTTTCACATAATTTTACCACCAGTCCGCTGCGCACCGAAAATGTGAGCATGCACACATGCGTGCTTCACTTGTGCATGCGCCTTCTGTGCATACTGGTTCTGGAGAACCAGTAGCAGAAATTTTGAGTAGTTCGGACAACCGGTAAATACCACCTCTGACTGGCCCCGCCCCCATCTATTCTCTGCCTCCCAAGTCCCAGCTGATTGGGAGGAAATGGGGATTTTGCAGTAACCTTCCTCTGGAGTGGGGAGGGAATGGAGATTTTACAATATCTTCCCCTGCCACGCCCACCAAGCCACGCCCACCAAGCCATGTCACGCCCACCAAGCCACACCCACAGAACCGGTAGTAAAAAAATTTGAAGCCCACCATTGACAATATACATATATCCTTTGCAACCAAATGTACCCCAGGTTCACTGAGGTGCTCTTTCAATTGCTCCTGAGCACAATTTCTAGCAGCTCCTGCCAACAGAGAGGGATACTGAAGGAGTATTCAGCAACATCCGGAGAGACACCTTTCCACTCTTGTCATAAGAGTTTGGCACTGAGTCATCACAAGACTCTTCCACCTTAACAAACAGATAGCCCACCCTCCTCAAAGTCAGCGTGCCAAGTTTATAGAGTAGAGGTAAAATATCCATAAGGAATACGGTCCATATTGTCAAGGTGGCAAATGAAATGTATGCTTTAAGCTCTGTCTGTGATACAATTAAAAAAACAGGCAGAGTTTCAAGCACATTTTTTCCTGAGGACACCCTTAGGTAGATGGAGGGGACCACGCTTGCCAGGATGACCAAATGGAATGACCAAATATTACAGGATTGCTTTGTCACACTTTGAGGGAAGTGGAGGTAACATTTGATCATCTAAAATATTTATTCACCTGGAACTTTTTAGCTGTGGAGGATCTAGTAAGTTCCTTACATCCCATAGGCTGTTGCACTTCCATTCAAAATATGGCTCCATTATTTGCAGTCAACAGGTGGATAAATGCCTTTTACTCAGTGCTATTTAATTAATCAACTAAAGCATAATTACCATCATAATTTTGATGCTTTGCATTTTCCTTAACTTTAACATCAGTTGGTCCAATGAGAGGAAGCTTCAGATAAATATTCTGCTTCCAAGGTACGCAGCTTCTGACGAAGATGCTTCTCAATAATCCAGGAATCTTGAGACAATTTAAGATATTTTAAAAAGAAATCATAGACGAAGTCACCAAAAGTCAAGCTTTACTTTTTAAAAATTCCCCTAAATCAATAAATTCAAAATCTAAAAATGCACCACTACTAAGTCACACTTTCTATGGGCATCCAGTGGTCAACAAATGGACACATCAAAGTCTTTCTTCTCTGCAAACTGTAGCTGAATAGTTTTTCTGCAGTGCTTGTCCTCAAAATATCCGAGTACCAATTTTCCCATTAAAGCCTAGCTGTTTCTCCATTTCCTCTGATTAACTCTATTAGTCAGAAATTGATAGGGTATATGACATTAACCTAATATGTATTCATCACCTAAATGATATGTTTAGAATAAAGCTGCAGTGAAATTACCTTTATATATGATAATATCTCAAAGATACACGATGGGCAGACTAAACGTCGCAGAGAACAATTATAAAAATGTCAGCTTTTTAGAGGTGGTATTCAGCCGGTTTTGACCGGTTCAGTTGTACCGATAGCGGAAATTGCAGGTGGAAATCACTCACCCGCCCACTTGCCCTGACTCTATGCTGTCCTGTTTAGGCACGTTTTTGAGGCTGGGCGTATGCGTGGAAGGCGCTCACTCGAGCAAAGCGCATGCGTGGAAAGCCGGGCTCATGCACACGCTCACATTTTCGGTGCTGGGTGAACTGGTAGGTAAATTGTGTGAATCCCACCTCTGCAGCTTTTCATCTTTTTTCATACTTAGCAAAAATGGATATTTGGCTGCTATTTTGAACCTGGAAACTGACAATAGTTATTTATTTATTTATTTATTTATTTATTTATTTATTTATTTATTTATTTATTTATTTAATTTGTATACCGCCCTTCTCCAACAGGACTCAGGGCGGTGAACAGTCAAGGTAAAAACACAACATATAAAATTTAAAAGCAATTTAAAAAACATTAAATAATTTTGGCCATCAATTTAAAATAACCCAGTTAAAACCAATTATAAATTTAAAACCGCAAGGATGGGGTCAAGCCAGCCAGTTTTGTCTTTCCCCTAATAATTTATTGAGACAGGCTTCTTTTTCTTCAGGTATTCTGCTGAATAAAGCATCATTACAAACATCCTGGGCCTGACATTTTGTCATTATTCAAGTCGCTCTTCTGGTCTATTATTTGTATGTCCCTTTTAATTATTAAAACATCAGCCAGTTTCATTTGTAAATTCAGTAGAGCAGCTTTTTCCATATCATTCTTGTAAGTTGTCGTTTTTAAGTCCACATGCAAAACAACTTATCTTCTTTCATCACTTCTTTTAAATCCATTTTTATTATAGCGGATAATCTTAAAAGTAAATTGTAAGTGCATTATTCCTAAATATCCTTGAATTCTTCCAAAGATAGAATATTTTGCTACATTCTGTATTAGTGGGTCTCTTCTCCTTTAATATTTATATCCTTTATATTTATTTCTGGTTTCCTCTTTTTTTCAAAATCACATCTTATGTTTTTTTTTCTAATCAAGATTGTCTCACATACAGTAAATATTTCTTACACTTAATTTCAAAATACTCACATAATTTTTAATAGTCTTTTAAACAACCAACAGGAAAAATTATTGTAATTAATATCAAAATCTTATTTCAAATCCATCTGGCCCTTTAGTTCATTTATAACTTTCCAAAAGCAATGTCCCCATCACTGTTTTTGCTGTTTATTCAAAAGTAAACATTTTAAGTCCATAAACTTGTATAAAATTTATTTCACCAAGGATTGAAGGAAACCCAGTGTGATGAAACTTGCCTTTCTGATGGTTCTTAATATAAAAAAAAGCCATTAACAAGCAACTTTCAAATAATTAAGGAAGAAGTATATAAATCCAGTGTGCTTTTGAGGGCACCAAAATGCAGCTTGTGGAAAGAGGATAATTCCTCAGTTTCCAGAACTGTAAAATCTACAGAGTCTTCTCGCATGGAGTGATGATAGGTAATCCCAAATCCTCTCCTTTATTTGGATAGGAGTTCCAAGGAGATGATCCGTTCACTGGCTCCTCATTCCATTGCGGTTAACAGAAACAGAATAACAGAGTTGGAAAGGACATTGGACATCCTCTAATCCAACCCATCCTCAAGTAGGGGATGCTATCCCATTTCTGACAAATGACTGTTCATTCTCTTCTTAAATACCACCAGTGATAGAGCACCCACAATTTCTGAAGGCAAGCCATTCCATTGATTAATTGTTCTGTCAGGAAATTTCTCCTTAGTTCTAGGTTGGTTCTCTCCTTAATTAGTTTCCATCCATTGCTTCTTGACAGTTGACAGTAGCAGAGCCATCTTCAGTCTCTTATTGCTTTCCAGAAGTCCTCACTGCCCTGCTGTATCCTTTCCCATCTATCTCCATCTTCTTTGTCTACAGCCTTGCAGGCCATGACTGCTCAGTCAACTATAATCCATGACTTCATTAGGAAAATGCATTAAGGCACTTTTGGATGCATCCTGCAGAATACGGTATCATTGTTAAATACCATTGTTCTTGTTGTTGCTGTTGTCATTAATTTTACAATCCATTTTGTTGGGATTTGGTTGTGGAAAAACTAAAAGCACTAGGCTGAAGTATAGAAAAGGACAGTGTGATTGTTATTCATTCAAACATTATCAAGTTGTCATCATTATCCATAATGATGAATAAAGC